GGGAAACAATATTCAGTACTATTCTAAAAGGGAAATGAAGAAACAAATGCTTTATCATGAGAAGGAGCTAACATTTCAGTGTTTCCTAAAGTATTTTAGCAAGGCAGACTCTGTCTCAATTTGTGTCACAGTCATATCATGAGTCAGAGAATGATTTCATTGATCTGCCCCACTCTTCAGTCTTTTAATGCCACCATTGATTAGATAACTGAGATTGTTGTGTGGGAGGAATATCATGACAGTAAAAATGAATGTTCTTTTAAAGTGTAATTAGAAAACACTGCTTGAAGATTTTTTTTGTGTCAAAGAAATTCAAAAACTTTATTCACAAATATGAAGAAGTCAGCTTTGATGGACTCCTCCCACGCTTATCTGGGTGAATGGAAGGTAGTCCTCCTGGTCATGAATGCTTCTGAAATTAATGGGGGCACCTGGGATAGAACAGATGACCAGCACCAATTTGTGTTAGGTTACTGAGTACCTTGTAGGAAGGAATTTGGAGACATTTGGGATACTATGCAAGACCCTGGACACTAAGAAAGCAGTCTTTTGGGAAAGGAATGCCCATGCATGTATCATAGATGTAGCCTGAGACTTTACAACACGGCACAACTGGATTCACATCACATTTGCTCTGGGGAGTTCCTTACTTATCCTCCTTTTTACAGAATTTTCTTATTTGTAAAATGGGTATAAAACTATTTAGAATTATTTACTTGATATAATTATTGTAAAGAATAAAAGGAGGTGATGTCTCTTAAAGGCTTAGCAGGATGCCTGATACATAGAAATTGCTTAATGAATATCCTTTCTATTTCCCTGAATGAGAAGTATGGAAGACATGAGGTGAGGGGTGTGGGAAAATTAATACTTTCCATTAATATGTTGACTTGAAGGTAAACTTAGTGCTACTGGCTTTTCTGTAATTCATGGGAGAAACTTGCTGTAACAGTGCCCAGGGAGCGGTGGGATATAGCCCCAAGAGGAAACGTGATTACTGGTAGTCCAGAATATAAACTTGAAACTGACTGTTCTGTTTTCTAATACTGGCTCTGACACTTTCTGTGTGTCTTTGGGTAAGTTATTTAATCTTTCTGACCCTATTTTCCTGTATGTGCAGTAGAAATAATGATACTTACAGGGTGTGCAATAGATGCCTGGTTTCCTTGGCCAACCTACTACCTTCATTCTCTGAGACTTGATTCTCCTTTCTCAAGAAAGAGCTCTTGCAGCCATGCTTGTCTACATGAGCATTTTCCCTTGCTTACAACTGATGAAGGGACCTGGTCGGGGGAGTCACTTGACTTAGAAGGATCCAACCCATTGGCTGGGCTAATACAATCCGCTTCTCTCTCTTAGAGGAGGACTAAATGAGATGATGAATATAAAGTACTTCACACAGAGCCCAGGGTGTAATGATGGTTCAGTAGTTTTAAAATCCAAAGTAAAAGCCATTTTCTGGCATCTACTCTTCCACTTTCAAAATTTTTCTCCACGGTAACTGTAATTTGCATAGTTGGTACAAGTCTAATAGGTAATGCCGGTGAGAATTTTCCCAGGTTTTGAAGTGACAGCTCAACCAAGAGAAGGATGACATTCCTATCTTTAAATCCCTTTTATGCCAGGGACATTTCTGAATGAAGCATGTCTTAAATGTTTTTTTCTGGAAAAGCCTAACAATTCTCATGCTAGAAATTTTAATGTCATGGTCCCAGTCTAGGTATTTCAGACCTAAGATTGCTTATTTTTAACAAGTCCAGCTAGGAAACAGCAGAGGTGAAATACCATTTTTAACCACGCCTCTTTCACATGGGCACCCTCTGAGTCTACAGCTTTAACCTCAGGAATAGCTGTTTACTTATTCTGTCCTTAACAGGTTCAGCTCATTAAATGCTGCAAAACTTATTCAGCAAGGATTACATCTGATTTTGCTCATTAAACCAGAATGGGCACCATGGTGGGGAAAAGGTATGGGGGTTCAGTGCCTGTATTCTTAAGCGTCTCCAAGAAAGGAAAGACTCTCCTTAAACAATAAACACATAAAGAAATCCTTTCCTATTTGGTATTAATCTCAACTATCAGCCAATACATTGAAGACAGAATTTTACCTTTTTATGCACTTTTCATCTTTCACAATGTTTCTTTTCTTCTTCAACTTACTATGTCACAGAAATTTTGTTTCCTTTTCTTTCTTTGCTATACAAACCTGAAGGTCATTTTGATTTTTCTTTTATAGTTTTCATCCTAATTAAATTTTGTCAGCTGAATGTACAGATTTTTGTTTTGTTTTGGTTTGTTTGGTGGCAGAAAATTCTTTCTCTTCTCTGTCTCTCTTTCCAAAAACAGAAAGTTTCCTGGTTTGGAATCAACCAACGGTATTCTTAATGCGCCTCAGAAATTCTGTAAAGTTTTCACATATGCTGAAAGAGTCTGCGGTGCCTTTGGGATATCAATAAGGACTTAGGGGAAAATACCATCCTTCCAGTGCTATGCACTATGCAGGAGAGTCACTTAGTCACAGCATGGCAACCCCTACAAACACTTTACCTAAATTCATATATGTGTGTGTGTGTGTGTGTGTGTGTGTGTGTGTGTGTCCACACATATACATACATACATATATATATATTCTATAACCAGCAAAGTATAATCCAGGTTTCTTTTCAAAAGGAGCAACCAGTTCAAATGCACAGCTGGATATGCCAGCAAACACATAATTAGACAAATTGGATTTAAGAGTTACGTCAGGCCTTAACTGAGCCAGTGAATAAGAAGTTGAATGAAACGTTGTGATTGCTGCTCTGGTGCCTGGAAAGAACAGAATATGTGGATCTGTGTGTTTTGGGCAAATAAAAGGCAATTACTGGGAGTTATGGAGTGTAGTTGGCATTCCATGAGAGTTAGACTACAGAATCTTTCACAGTGGGTTGTGTTGGGGAAGGAAATGTCCATGGCTAAAAGAGGAGCCTGTTAGAGGAGATGTGCTAAAAGGAAAAGATTTGGTAAATACTATTTTGAATCTATATTTTATAAAAATTATATAATATGCAATTTTTCAATAGTCTGTAAAATGTTTTGGAGAATTTTAAGTATAAAATGATACATTATACATTACTATTTCTCTTCTGAAAGTGGACATTTCCAGCCAAGCCAGGTATATTCTGGAGAAGACAACAAGCAAAGTCTACAGTTTCAGAATTTTTCACGAAGAATACTAAAACCAATGACTAAATATTGAAGATAAACCCCCTTATAGAATTAAGAAGCTAAAACTAAATTACTGGCTTTTCCTATTTGCAAATAATCTTATTTGCAAATTTGACTCAAGGCAGCTGAATGAAAGGTAGATATTCTTCTCTCTCAACAATCTTCATGAAGTAAATGGGACAAAAAAGCAATTGTCTGAAACAGTTCAATTTTCTTAAAGAAAACATCCTGAATTAATTGACAAAAGTATCTATTAGTCCCCATGACATTGATGCTTATAGCATTTAGGGCTTGTCTCTTAGTGTGCAATTTAAATATATATCCATAAAATCCTTGCTAATAATACTAATAACTTCTTGTCTATTGATGCTGCCTAACCATTAAAATCTCTATTAGCAACCTCATGTTTGGTTTGTTATATTTTACAAGGAAGGATTTGAACACATCTAATTTGCAAAGCAGGTACTACCGACAGTGGCAAATACAAAGATGAACGAGTTGCTTCCCTCAAATTTATAATCTAGTAAGAGAGACAGAAATATAATAGAGAAGTAAACATGGTGCGTTGTTGGCAACTTTGCCATGTCTAAAGGGAATTATTTTGAAGCACTTTATATTCTGTTTGCATTGCTATTTGAAGTGTATTATGCTTCTGTTATTTAAAAGGGAAGTTCTTTTACATTGAAGGTATGTATACAACCTGTATGATGTTACTATTACAATAAAGTATTATACACTACTTTTCAGCTGATGATCAAATAACTCTGGATCATTATGGGCACAATAGTTGGCACAACTTTTGGCAAAAAATCAATTTGGTTTATGGTCTATTATAATCCACAGATCATAAATCAAAGAGATCCTTAATGGCAATTTTTTTTAAAGTATATAATTTGCTGAGGACCAAGTAGATTCCCACGTTTGTCAGCCTTTCAATTCTTCTCAACAACTGTCTATTGTTGAGTTATCAAATAGCAAATATCAAATTTTGAGAAGACACTCCCCCCATTTATTTACATGTGGGAAAGCTTTTTGAAGTTTGCTTGCTAGGGGCATAGTGATAGACAATCCAAGGGAAACAAAGCTTGGCAGAACAACAAATGTGATTATAGTATGGCTAGCTTCTGCTTCTTAGTCTAAAACTTTTCCAGAAAGAAAAGGTTGTCTTACACATTCTACTTTCAAAAACGCCAAAGAGGACGGGTAGATTCAGTATTACTTTCCCTAGGTTAAATGAAATCTCTTCATCCCTAAGCTGGTATCTCAATACACCCCTGACACAGGGAAGGATATTTACTGTTGTCCATCAAGTCTTCATTGAATTAAGGTATTTTATATACATTTTCAGGCTAACAACCATCAATCCTTCATTCCTTCCAATGACAGAGAGCACAAAGAATCATCTGTCTTAAGTAAAATACAATCACTTAGCTTGATCATCGATAATTTTGTGACAATGTATCTTAAATCAGGTTTCATTAAGATATAACAAATAAGGAGAATAAAACAATTACTCGAGGTAACATTCATTTATGATTGAAAATCATAGCTCATTCTTTGGTGTTGCTCCCTCTTTTAGTTTCTACCAGGAGGAGTAATGTTAGAAATAGGTGAATACTTTCTCTTGTGATAGGACCAAAGCATTGTTAGTTTTGATCTGATAAAACTTTCCTCTAAACTTGAGTATTTATAGACAGAATTTCTGGTTTGTAAAGACAAATTCAATGTTGATCTTGTCAGAGGGATTCGGAATAAGAACAAAAACATATACAAGTAAGAAAGTAGAGACTTACTGTATCACGTTGCCTGTTATCTTTCCCTGATATTATCAAGAAGTAGTTCCATGTCAATAGTAACAACAAAACCAGTGGTATCATGTAGAGCTCAAAGTTCCAGACAACAAAGAGAAAGAGCTGGAGGAGAGAGAAGAGAGAAGAGTCAACACTGAATTTCATTAAATGGACTGTTATTTATACTCCACTTCAAAAACACAAAACCAAATGCTTCAGAACAGGAAGATTTATCTTGAAAACAAAGAAAGCCTTGGAAACTTTTAGGCATTTTTCTAAAAATATATCTGACCCTTGGAAAGTCACTGGTAAGATTTTTAATCTGTTTAATTTCTATGAAGGAAAAGTTGATATCATTACATTATCAAAGAGGAAATTTGAGTTTTTCTCCTCCAGTGAAATTATTGTTAGGTTGGACACAATTTTTTAAAAGCAGCAGAATGAACTCTACTACACTGTCAGGAATAGCCTGGTTTATCTGCCTTAATGATAAAAAAAAGAATCACTATTTATTATCAGGGACTTTTAAAAAATCTCACTTGGATAATACAACATAACAAGCTTAATAGGCAGATAAAGATGCCAACTCTACACAAGAGAGGCCCCAAAATTTCACAATATGAAAAAAAGCACTGATACCAACAAGTATAAAATATTGTTGGCTTAACATTCAGCATTACCATAGAAATTAAATAGCTATTACAAGAAAATTTTGTCAAAACAAATTTTAAAATGCCTATTTGTATTATTCTTTTTTAACACTACCTACTTCTCCAAGTATATAAACTTTTTCATTGTAAGACAAATGTTAGATTAAGAACTCAGGATGGCAGATGGAGTCATTCTAAGAACACTTACATTATAAAGCAACACAAAGTTAGATATAAAGTGTGATTCACCGCCACCCCTCACCAGACTTGTAATCCTGGACAGATCATCTAAATTCTCTGGTCTGTGGCTTTTGCTGTCAGATTAAGGTAATGTTAAGTCAGGAGGCATTTAACACCTAGGTTCCACTCCTGACTCTAATGCTACTAGCCATATAACTTTTAAGCAACCTATTCCTTCTTTCATTCTTTTCCGGTAAAATGGGGATGATAGGATTATCCACCTCAGGGCTGTGAGAATTAAATAGTTAAAATATGTTAAAGATTTAACATACTGCTTGGTGGCCAGTAATTGTGCAAAAACAAAACCCCAAACCATTATTGTGTAAATGTTATTCATATCTTACAAAACACAGAAAGTCAACTAATTATTGATTAAGGTTCTCAAGTAATTAATGCAGAATATAATACTGGAAGCTAGAAAGCCCTCTCCCTGCTAAGATTTAGCTGAACCATGGCATAACTGGGAGTTTCAGCCAGCTGGTTGGAGTAACACAAACATCTTGAATTTGATAGGTCAGGAGAGTTAGGGGCAGTGCCCTAAGGACTCCTATGTTAGGCACAGCAGCATGGGCCATTTGCAGTCTTCTTAATAAATCTCAGTGAAGCCTACAGCCTATTTAAATAGCAGAGAAAATTAAACAGTGTGAAATGGTAGGGAGACTCCTGGTTTCAGGGCCAGGAGACCAAGGTTCCAAGCTTTAGAAAGTTACTTTGCCTTAGAGTTCTCATATCTTGACAAAGGTCGATAAATCTAATCATCTTTAATATTTCTCGAATATTTAAAATGACTTCATGATATTATTGTACCATCTGTTTTTTTTTCAATGTGACATTAAATTTTGAATACTGTATATTTTACCGAATTCTTTTATATTCATAACCAAGTGGGCACCAAAAAACATAGATAATAGTTTAGGAAGCCAAGAAATTATTTTGGACAGAATTACATGGTAACTATAGATTTAAGTTCCTGCATAAGAAAAGTTCCAAATATTGTAATACATGAAACGTGAGCCATATCTTTTATTTCATGAGAAAAGCAGAAAGATTTCCAGAAAAAGAAAATATTTTCATTTAATTTTTGAAATGTATACAAAATACAAAGATGACATAAATACTTGATGGTTATGATTATTAAAATGTATTTTTATACAGATAATTCTTTTTTAAGGAAGTGAATTAAGGTAAATCTGACAGATATCAATACATGCAAAAGGGAAAATCATTTTTGGCTAGAGTCCACATTCTTTATACATTTATTTGTAACACTGAGGCAGTCACTAGAATGTAAGTTCCTTTAAAGGTAGACTCTTTGTTTTCATTCACGTGTTTTATCCTGAGTATGTGGAACAGTACTTGGGGCACCGTAAGTGCTTGTAAAGTAAATATTTACTGAATTAATGGATAAATGGACACTGGGTTCTCCAATCATTCGACAGAATTCTGTTTAATTATTTGTCTTAGTGAAACTATTATAGATCTGCTACATAAAACCAAGTGACTTTAGGAAAATGCAGAATTACAACCTGGGATGCTACTAACAAATTTCTCCCTCTGTCAAATAAGCCTACCTTAGTAATTCTTCTATACAAGATTTTCTTTCCATTTGGCTATGCAGTCATGAACTATTTTGGATATTATGGTCTTTTCTCCTGGACCTTCTTTACGTTTGCCTTTTCTGAGGACATTTATTTGACTTAGTGTTCTGGCCTCATGGATGGAACTCAGATTATCCCGTTGCTGAATACAACAAATTATAATCTTTTTAACCTATTGAGCAGATATATTTTCCCTTGTAATGTCCACTCATTGGTGTTAGGGTCCTCATCTTATCCAGAATAAATTTCCTTTAATGTTCATGTATTGATGTCAGCTGTAGGTCTGTCATCCACAGAAAAAACTCCCTAGATGATAATCCTACAAGCAATCAGCACATCTCTCATGCCTTCTTCTTCTCTAGGTTTCACATCACCACTTGCTTCAAGCATCAGTTACAGAGTATGGTTTCTAGGCACTTCCTTACTGTAGTCAGCTTCCTCTTACCATATCCAAATCAATATATCAATAACTTTCTTAAAATATAGCACTCAGAACTGGTACACACTTCTCATGAATGTCTACAGTATTTTTATATGTCCTAATAGCATGAGCACCAGAACATGGACTGGGGAAAGACACAGAAGAGAGAGACAAAGGAAGAAATTGCATTCATTTTAGGAATTCTGGCAACAGAAAAACCATCTCCTTTCCCATTGTGGTTTTAAGAATCTAATATTTGAGTAATTGAGTGAGCAGCTCCTACTGTTGAAAATATCTTTTTTTTTAAATGAGAGCTTTGAATAAACTGTAAATACAAAAGCATTTATTTTTCTTTTTCAGCACCTAGATGAAGATTTCAAAAGGTCAAAGAAAAGAACATGAATACAGGATAACAATAAAAATGTATTTATTGAACACGTGTGTTACAAAATACTGGATGTTTAAAAGTATAACACCCAATCATTTATTCAATATAGTATTAGTGATGATTCTAATTCCTATTAGCTGATGATTCTAATTCCTATTAGCTGGCTCTCTCTAATAAAGAGAGCCCTCAAAGGAAGAAAGGAGCTTTTTAGCTCATTCAATCCACACTGAACCTCTTCTCTCCTTCCTCCTTGGAAAGAGACCGATTCTCTCCTCTTTCCTACAAAAACAAACAAACAAAAACAAAAAACAAAAAACAACCTAAGCTAACACAAAAGGCCAGACCTTTAGTGCGCCACTAGGGTAGCAGGACAAAGAAAGCAGCTGGAAGAAACCCAAGGAAGGCCAAGACAATGCAGGATCTGTCCTTGGTCCTGATTATACATTTTCAGAGGTATGGGGGAAAAGAGAGATAAAATAATGCATTAACATGGGATGGAAAAAGAAATCAAGAAATAATTTTAAATATCTCTAATGTATTAACAGAATACAAACATAAACCATAAAATGTCTAGCACGTGTCCACATCTGCATTTCCGAAACTGCTTTCTGCCTTTGTGGGCCATGGAATGAGGACCTGCAGATTTTAGAATTTTTTGATGTTATAGTACGTGATAAGGACACTTACTCTGTCTACAGAGCATTTAATTCTTTCAACTCCATCACTATAGCACCCCTTCTGTATTTCTTCCTCTCTCTCTGTCACATAATCTCTTCGTGTCTCCCCCATCTCTCCTTTTAATAAGGAATCTTAGGCTGTCTATATTTTACTCTCATGGAATACATGCCCCATTCCAAACAAAACATCTAGCCCTACATTAGTTATCCATGCTCATTAGAAACTAGAAATACTCTAGGAATTTGATGGCTTTCTTCTTTAATCATTAGATGGCTGTTGTAATTTATAATTAGAATTCGACACCAGAAAATCTTCAGGGGGCATTAGTCAAATGGTAATAAGTACACATAGTCCCTTCATTAGAAAAAGAATATTGAGAGTTTTACTCAGTATCCTGCATGTTAGAAACTCTGTCAACTGGCATTGGGCTGTTGGCCAGGACTGTGTGATCCCTCAAGGAGCTGATGCAGTGTGGGACAATAGAAAAAGAAGGGCGTTTGAATCAGGCCTAGAGGCATCCAAACTCTCTAGTCACTAGCTTTGGGACCTTGGGCAAGTTATTAGATTTCTCTTAGTTTTGTCATCTGAGAAGTGAAAATTATACTATTTACTCTGCAGATTTGAGAAGCAATTAAGCTGATGCTTGACACCTATAAGATGCTCAACAAGCATTAGGTATTATGGCATGCAGGAACTGATTGGCTTAAACTGCATATAATTTTTTTTTGGCTCTTCTAGAAGCTTATCACTTTTCATATACTACCCTAGAATCCACAGCTAATGATTGTTTCAAGTGTAAGAGCTATGCTGAAGAAGCCATGCCAACTAAAGTAAAAAAAGATGATGAAATCAGTGCCACTTTCAGTTTTTCATGTTTAATTTGTGGTGACTGAGTACAGTAATGACCCCAATTTTTCCATGTCTCCCTGTATCCATGACTTTTATAATACCCTCCCACAATGACTGAGATTAGGCATATAACTTGTTTTGGTCAAGGACAGAGTAGCAAATATGATGAAAACAGAGGCTTAAAAAAACATGGGGCATAGTTGCCTCCATCACTCCAATTGAAAGCCAGACAGCATCCAAGCAAAGCCAACTAACAGACCAGAAGCCAACCAAAGATGCACGAGTGAGCCCAGCTGGGC